GGCAGCGCGGCAGCATGGGACCCTTACCTTCCGGCTGACGCAGGTGCTTTCCGGGCACGGTTGCTTCGGAAAGTACCTGCACTCGGTCGCTAGGAGGGAACTGAGTCCCGCCTGCCACCACTGCGACTGCAGTGAGGACTCGGCCCAGCACACGCTGGCGGTCTGCCCCGCATGGGCGACGCAGCGCCGGGCCCTCACTGCAGTCATCGGAGTGGATCTCTCGCTACCGGCCGTAGTACGCTCCATGGCCGGTAGCGACAGTTGTTTTACCGCGGTCGCAACCTTCTGCGAGGAAGTAATCTCGCAGAAGGAGGCGGCGGAGAAGGCCCGGGAGGACGACCTCCACTCGGACCCGATCCGCCGCCGGCGAACCGGGCGGCGGAGGCGCGCCTATCACCGCCTCATGCCGCCCTGAATGTGGCCGCGGGTGGACGGGGTGGGTTTCCCCTCCACCCGCATTAGTTTGGCCAGCCGCGAGGGGGCGGCGTCCGTGTGTGCCGGACGTCGCCTAAAAAGAGGAAAATTTTGAGACGGAGACGATCTTAATAACAGCTGTTCCCGGATCCCTCCTATTACAGGCGCAGAGTGGCACACCGTGTGGTTTTAGTCGGTCCGAGTCCGACACACCACCCCGCCGCAAACCCCGGTGGGGTGACGGTCCGAGGGGATTTCCACACGATAAAAAAAAAAAAAAAAGGGTTTGTGTCAAGATTTCCTTCTCTCTGCAGTGTTGTTGTCCTATGTAGTTTGCTCCCTTAGTCGGCTCTTACGACACCCACGGGATGAAGAGGAGTGGTGACACTATGTATACTTAATACGACACCACACGGGCAATATTTTTATGTAAATATTATTTTTAAGGTGACAATACTTATTTTATTATCTAGCTAAACCCTGCCATGCTTAACTATTCCACACTGTGGTTGCATTGAAGAGCAACGAAACTGTTGCGATAAATAGATAAAAACAATCTCTAAAGCGGATTGTATATCGTGTCAAAATTTCGGCTCAATCGGTGCAGAAATTTTTGAGTGCTTGAAGCGTACACAAACCAACTTAACATTTAAATATAAATGTAATATTTACTTATTATATTGGAACGTTATTATAACAAGTTTTATCTTTTATTTCGTTGATAGTGTAATATTATAGAAGTGACAAAGCAATAAAGCCACAATAAGCAGAGAGAACTGTAATCTATAAAGATATTTTTCTTAGGTTGTAGTGAACCAATATGAATTTGTAATTTGTTGCAAACCTTTTCTACTTGTCTTTCCACAGAATATGTTTGTCTAGTGTTATTAATGGATTGCATTTAAATTACTAAGTCTTACCCAATTTATTAATCGTGGTATAGTAGGCCAAACCTCCTTTCTAAGGAGAGGCCTATGTCCAGCAGTAGACTATTAAAGGCTGTTGATGATGAACCAATTTATTTATCACTAATTGAAATATTAATGTCTTAACATGAATTTATGTCAGATTTAGTTGGAGATGTCACAATTATTGATATGTCGTCAGTGAACAGCATTCGTGGATAGCTAGTAGCCGCAGGAAGATCGTTAATATAAATTAAAAATAGTAGTGGATATTTAGACCTAATACATATATGAAGCCTACATGGTTTTAATAGATAGAGATAGAAACTATACACTATTATATTTGTCATATCCAAACAAACCAGCTCATTCAGAACTTGAACATATAGAAAAAATAGAACTCTAACTATAAAATTAATATAATAATATCTGTTATTATAATTCAAACGAAATTTTAAATTGTGTCAATATCAGATAGATCACTCTATTCTAGATCATATTGTAACATGAATCTTGCGCATTCCACTTCACCCATTTACTTGTCCTGATAGGCCGTTTGGGTATGACTAACAGCGACACGACACACATACTTCCAACCGCTCCGAGCTCAGAGCTCAGTCGCGCGTCAGACATGGCGGTATAAGCACGCTATACGGCTGTGATTAGAAACAATCATTTCACAAATAAAACTGCCTGGATGTCCACATGTCCTAACCTCGAAATTATACTCAAGTATAATATGTGCAATGTCAAGTGTATCTCTTAAGGCATGTTTAGTATTGCAATTCAAAACTAAAGTTTGTTGTTTGTATCTATTCTATTTTATTGATAAAATAAAACATTCTATATGTGTGCGTCGGTATGAATGATGGTGTTACATCAGCACTGCACACACAGCTGTTATTTATCGTTTTGTGTCAGTGTCTTCTCGGGCATTTTGCTGCTTTCTATCTTTAGGTAAAATTGTTTGTTTTCATTGTTATACCTAAATTGTTATTGTTGGTTCTCACAATTTTCAAGAATACCCTGACATACCAACTAAATTCTCTCGTCTACTAATTTAATAACTAAATTTTATTTAATTTGGCTTTATGTTTTTGTCGTCAAGAAAATAAGATTACATAAATCACAACTAAATATTGAGCTTACATCTCTTAATATTAAGTAAAAACTACTAAAAAAATATATTTTGCTCCAAGCCTTGTCAAAATTACGAATACCAAGAAAAAACACATCTTGTAATTATTTGTAGACTATTTTTTCACACAAACAATAACTAGATAATTTCTGTACGTAAACATAGATTTCATAGATTCTGATAATAATATTTATTTTATGTGATTCGAGTTTTTTGCCAAACACCTATGGAAAAAAATACATATCAAATTTTCTGAAGCATCGCGGGTTACAAAAATAAATAAAGAAATGGCCCAAAATTAGTGGAAACCAATGAATTCTTACTTATATCAAATATACCAGTTTCAGTGTGCATTAAATTATCTTAGAATTACTGTAATTTAAATAATAAATTATACTAGCTGACCCGGCGAACTCTGTTCCGCCTTAAAGGCAATAAATAAGCAGATTTTTGTTCTTTTTTAGCTGTTTATTGTTTTTTTTAGAAGTTTTTGATTTAGAACAACATACTGAAATATAAATAATTTCAGTATCGTGTCAAAGTACCTATTCATAATTTAGTATTATTATTTTAAATATAGCATAATGATACCAATACTTAATTTGCTTTCTGATAGGGCGATCAGTAGTCAATAATCAAAGATTTCATTCAGAGGAGATATAAATCGATTGAAAAAAATAAGCCATTAACTTTGGGGCAAAATATTTCTATAAACGTTTAATATGCTATACCAGGCTACTTATGTCAATTAGGACTGAAGTAAACAATTGAATGTGTATTTATATGTCTAAATGGATAGTCACAGCTTTAAAATCAGACGTTTTTTTTGTGTTGGTTATAATGACGATTTGTGTGATAAAAGTGTGTAAATACGAATACGAAAGAACGTAAATACGAATTAAAACGAAATTATAAAGGACGAAATAAATGAAATTAAACAGTCACCTTGTTTATCTGTTCCCGTAAAATAATGTGTTTAATTTATTTGTAAAATAAATTATTATTGTGTTCGCCATTTTGTATGTGATGCTATTTAGTTTATGAACTCAAGTCAAAACTCCCTTAAAAGGTGGCGTACTATGTATTGTATGTAATACTTACTAGTAACTTCTCCTTATTCTGTAGTAATGTATAGTGAATTGGCGATATTACAAAAGCGAATTTTATAGTATATCCTATACTATTTAAAGAGTTTTAATTTTAAAGTGAAAACTTTTTAGGGTGGTGTTATTTTTGGTAGGAGTATTATTAATGAATTGGCGTAACATTGACTACGATGATGCAGTGGTAGCGTATGGACTGCTGTGCAGCAAGCTCTTACAGCACAAGTAAAGAGAAAATTCTGAAAAATAAAAAAAGTTTTCGCGAAAATCGAAATTTGCCCATATCTTTTTATCGTGTTGACTCAGGACCTTGATTTTTATACACCTAATAGGGACCATAGACCTCAGTATCTGGTATCATTTCAACTTGCTAGGGCTACCCGTTCCTGAGAAAATCGGTGGTGACATACGGACAGACGGACATGAAAGTGATCTTATAAGAGTTCCTTTTTTACCTTTTGAGGTACGAAACCCTAAAAATAACGTCACGTGTTGACCAAGACGTTTAGGTACATTTAATTATTCTTAAACCATATTTATATTATTGTTTTTGAAGTGAAAACTTCTTTAGGCGCGTTGGGCATTTTTTAACAACAAACAAAAGAATGTATTTTTTGAGATGAGGAAAAAAACGATTTAACTCGCGACACTGATACCGTTACCGACACATCTGTATATAAGTATCTACATTATATTGGCCTCGTTTACACGAGAGTTGAGTTTAGTTTGAAATACGTTCATAATATAACTATATATAATATAAACATATATTGTGTATATACGCACAACATAGAAATATGTATATTCATGTCGGAACTTTACGAATCGAAAAAAAACAAAGATTTTTCTGTTATAATAACAAAAATTAGCCGGTGTTAAGCAATTCTTTCGTTCCTTTAAACCGAGTGAGTGAGGTTATCGGAGCCCAAACCTCTCTTTCTCCTGATTCTGGGGGGAGGACTCAGGGGGCGGCAGCGCTCTTGTAACTCTTTAGTTTGGCCTCTATGGACGGTAGTGGTCACCTGCTATCTGGTGACCGGTGCGCTCGTTGCCCCCTGTACCATAAAAAAGTTAACTTGATACCTTCTTGGTACTTGAACCATGTAACCTGTAACTCAGTTGGTCAACTACACTGTGTGACATGTAAAACTACCTTTAAGATCAAATTTGTGTTTGCCGGTCATATCCGCGCCCATTTCAGAAATCTACAGTAGGGTTCGCCATCGACGGATACGTCGCTGAGGACATCATCATCATCAATACGTGAACCACTAAAGTAGATGGTTGAAATATTGCCTAATATAACGTATATTTTACTGAATAAGCTGAGTAAAATAATTACATTTTGTTACAGAAAATAAGAAGTTCAAAAGGTGCAAGAAGAAAAGAAGCTCAAGCAAAATAGTTTTAGTCAATAAGTAGTGATAAAAATCATTAGAAATGACGACAACAATTAATCCACTGATGTCCCCACATAAGACGAAAAAAGTAATCAAGTTAGTACCCCCGGATGGAGGCTGGGGATGGATGGTGATACTAGGGACAGCTCTTAGTAATGTAAGTACCATTTAAGGTGTTTTCTATGCACAATGTGTATGTATTTACAAAAAAAGTATATATAGTATTATATCAGTCAATCTAGCTTTCATGGTACAAGCTCTGCTTAGTTTGAAATTACCTGGCGTTGTGTTAGATGTCGTAAAAGATTATTATTATTATTTAATTTACTTCTATAGCAATATGCAAACTCTGGGCGCACTTAAGGTATTTAATCGATCTTATTATCTACTAAATCTGATGATTAACTTACACGTTTATCTTAAAGTTCGACAAAGGGCCCTTAACTTATTTAACACTTATTGCCTATTTTAATAAATACTTAATAAGATCCTCACCATATTTGAGTAAATAATTCACTCGAATATAATAAAATTTAGGTCTCTTTTTTTCTTTTTAGTGTAACTTTAATACAAATCATTTAAGCCAATATCAGCAACAAAGTATCGAATTGATCTATAACTAATAAAATTATATTACAAGTAGTAACTTTATTTGGTTGAATGCTAGGATTAAAGGATACGGCAAGAATAGTAACACCTTGCTATAGGTAAACCTGGTTTTTGATGATATGAACTGTTTTCAATTTTTAGTTAACCTATCAAATACGAACTCCCTTTAATTTTTTTACGATTACTTATATCTTATTTTGTCTTGATTATTATCAGATGTAAATTGATTAATAACATACTAGTTTTGATTGTCATTCAACTAGGTTTTTTTACATTATCGTCATCTCCTGTTTATTTGTAGATTTTTAACGTATCAATGCTATCCTTATTCAGTCTGGTTTATGGAGATGCTTTGGAGGCTATGGGACACAAAACACAGGGTGCAGCTGTTGTACTTAGTTCAATGTTGTTTGTCTCGAATTTCGGTGGACCCGTAGCAGGTGCCATAGTTAAAATAACATCACCAAGATTTACAGCGGTCATGGGAGCTTGCTTTTGTACCGTGGGAATATTTTTTAGTGGATTCTCGACAAATATATGGCATTTGGTAACTACTTACGGAGTGTTATTAGGTAAGAGGTAATGTTATGTCTTTTTGAATAATTTATAAACCGACCAACACCAATGGTCATCAAAATAAATGAAGTTCGCAGTATGAACTAACCTGTCTTTTATTAATCTATGTATAAATACTACATTAAGACTAAGCAAGCTAAATGGATTAAAAAAACAGTTTAGTAATTAAAACAATATTTTATAAATAAATATTGCTTTACTCATTAATAAAATTGCATTTCAATATCTATTCATTTTGTGTTCTACTCTTAAAAAATAATAATACCTGAATTTAAAAAAATGCATAGAAATACATATTTACCTACAACTTATAAGATCCTGTGTTATCACTTTCACTTATTTTTTATTTTACACTGACTGACTCACAAACACTCACATTGCAGAAAAGTACAAAATTATCTTTTGTTGGCATCATAAATTTCACTGGAATAATAGTATATATTTTTAACATTTCATGGTATAAATGCTTTGTCTAAACGCTTGGTATAATTGCTTTGGTTTGTATTAATTATCAGCAATTATTGTCTATAATACAACAAATATCGTCATTAAGTCAAGATACTACAATATATACCCTAATAAGTGATAATAAGTCTAATTCAGTTTTTTTACATGAATTTCAGGACTAGGCTTAGATTGTATTTCGAACTCAACATTTGTTTCAATAAATAGCTACTTCAAACAAAGGAAAAGCCAAGCTGTGGGTCTGGCAAATGTTGGTACGAACATCGGCCAGATGCTAATGCCACATGTAGTAAGGTATCTATTGGAAAATTATGGATTTCGCGGCACATGCTTGCTTTTGTCTGCTTTGAGTTTTAATGGGGTAACTATAATACTTATATTTCTCATGCCAAGTTTTCCAGCTTGGAGATAGGTAATGACGTTTCTTTTTTTATGAAAACTATAAAACTAAACTTCCTGTCAGGTAGCCGGGTGTTTGTTGCTACAGCCCGTAAAAATTCATATGAAGAAAATCATAGAAGAGGTAACAGTAGATGAAACAATATATTCATTAGAAAACGAACAATTTGATATGGTTGTTGTAGAAAGGCCCGATCTAAACCAAGAGTTGCCAAAATGTAATAAACAACAAACGGAAATGCAGTTAGTAAACAGAAGTAAAATTAATGTTAGTAAAGAAAGCACTGATAAATTAGAAACCACCAGTCCAAACAGTAAGTAACTGATATTTATAATTATAATTCAAAGCTAATCTAAGTCCTTTGTGTGTACGATCCGTATTTCTTTCCTGAAAGTCATAGGCTTCCTCAATAAATACTCTCATCAAGAACTAAATCCAATTTGATTTGTATTTTCAGAAATTATTCGGAGATTAAAAAAACAATGGGATAAAAAACATTAGTTTAAAAAAAACAGGTTAGGTATTTGTAAATAAAATATATTTTTACAAACGTGCATTATTTTACAGAAAACGACAGCTTTGAGGAAGGAAAAGAATCCAATTGGCTAAGGAAACTATATGATTTATTTGGTATCGTACTGTTATCTGACATTAGATTCATTAACATTGTAATAGGTACAGCGCTAACCACAACTTCAATAGCGAACTTCAGTTTAGTGTATCCATTATTTTTGCAGGTAACTTTTACTATTTTTATTTGTATATTAATCCAAAGGACTTAAAATTGTTAACATATATATTTACTAAAATCTAGTTTTGTAATCACCAATTTTATTTTATTTTTGTTTTGGGATGATCATTATAATCCAAGGTTTACACAATACCCAACAATTAATTTAATAAAAGTTGTCTAATTTCAGAATGCGGCATCTTTGGATAAGCAGCAAACTGCAAATTGTATGTCAGCAGTAGCAGCGGCGGATATGGTTGGTCGCCTCACCTTGCCTGTGCTTCAAGACAAGTTCAAAATAAAAGCCAGATGGATGCTTATAATGACAGCCATTTGGGTTATTGTAATCAGACAAAGTAAGTAGAAGCGCAATATTATGAATAAGCTGACGCTAATTCTTGTATTCGTGAAATGTTATGTTTATATTTATTTAATATTATTTTATGTTTATTCATATTTTAATTATTTTTTAAATGATCATACCTGTATCACCTCAACACAAAGTTGAAATATGTTTTTTTCTTTTTATGTTAGAGGGGGCAGACGAGCAGACGGCTCACCTGATGAAAAGTGACCATCGCCGCCCACGAACCTAATATTAAGGTTTATCTAACTCACAAGTCAAAAAAGATATTATTATGTCTTCCAAAACCTTTGATCTACCATCTACATACCAGTCTTACTTGTAACTCTAATAAGTTTAAAGAAAGTTACTAGTAAGTCTTAAGATTTCTGAATTGTCAATTTTTCTTGTTCACAGTTTTAGCACACCAGACAGATGTGACACTTTTATTAGCCCTATCTATCCTTTATGGCTTTGGTAGGAGTATGACTGTCGTCACCAAGAATATCACTATATCAGAAAACTGCAAATCGGAACTAGTGCCTGCTGCAGTTGGATTAGGCATGCTATCGATGGGTATAATTGCACCACCTCTTGGATATTTCCTCGGATGGATTAGAGATTACACAGACAGCTACATTGCTTGTATTGCAGCTCAAAATGCGTTATTAGTCATATTATTAGTAACCTGGCTTCCTGATATGTTGTACTTACACATAAAATCAAATAAAGAAAAAAAAACATTAGACCCGATAAAGGTATTTACTAAAATGTAGAACAATGATAGTGTTCTATAAAAGCACTTTAAATACTCTCTGGAAAATTATATGAAATAAGTGGGTACTTAAGCTAATCGTCCTTTTAGCCCATTTAATATGTCACATATTATTCGCTTGGCGAAAACGGGTTTTAGCAAAACAAAACTCAAATGACCAAATCGCACTTCTGTATTTATAGTTACAAGATGTCTGTCATAGGTATAAGTTCGTATTATTGATCATTAATCGTTTAATGTAATAAGGTTTACTAACTTTTGATCGGTTATCGTCAATAGAATTGTCCCGAAAAAAGTATTATAAATGTTTGTATAAAAACCCAAGATCCTCGAACTTCTCTTCTGAAGATTGAAATCGTAGCTTTTATTTTAATTAATAATATTTTTTAAATTTTAAAATACTGAAAACTGTTTTGACATAGCACAAGTTTTCATTTTAGGTAAATAATGTTTCAATTTTAAACCTTCTCAAAATGCCAGTCAACTCTACTACGTCAGTACTTTAGTTTTATACCTGCCGTGTAACTGTGAAGATAATAATATGTGAAAAATAATCCTACTTATGTTATTTTTGTGTGGTTTTAAAAGGCTAACGGAGTGTTTAGGTAAACATTTTGTGTTAGAGCAGTAATTAAACAGACCGAGATGAGTATGATGATGCATATACTCGTACATATATATATTACATTCATATAAATGTACCGAACAATCACTATAAAAGCTGATAGCAATTAATAACTGTACTTGTGATTTATATAATCTAAAACAGAAATGGAACAAATACTAATTGCCTTTTTAATGTGTTTTTCTTGTATTAGATCTGACTACGAAAATACAATACTTTCTTTTATAATTAAAAAAACTACGTTTTATTGTATGTAGTGATCGCCTGGTCATCAACTTTAGTCTATGATTCATTAACTTAAAATACTATGTTTTATATTTTTGATTAGTGTAAGTTAACTGATCATTTTAATAATATAATATTTATAACCTAAGACACGTCAGAATGGGCTATCTGAAACTTCACTTCACACAGCAAGTCTGAGGCAATATTTTACATGCATATTCACCACTTCACAACAGGTCCAGGTGTGAAATCTCGGTTATTCTGAGTATTAGAAATGACCAAACCTTCATTCTCTAGTAGCATAGTGCTTTCTCGGTGTGTCTACTCTGCAAAGGCAAGATCAAGCTTTTTTTTATGTAAGAGGGGGCAAACGAGCAGACGGGTCACCTGATGGAAAGTAACCATCGCCGCCCATGAACGTCTGCAACTCAGGAGTCACAGACGCGTTGCCGGCCTTTTAGGAAGGAGTACGCTCTTTTCTTGAAGGTTTGAAGGTCGTATCGGTCCGGAAATACCGCAGTCGATAACCCGTTCCACAGATTGATTGTGCGGGGTAAAAAGTGTCTCGAAAAGCGCACAGTAGTGGAGCGCCAACTATCCAGGTAATGAGGATGAAAATTTTGCCGTGTGGAACGATGGCGGCAATTTGCGACTGGTATTAGTCCGAACAATTCCGCGGAGCACTCTCCATGATATATGCGATAGAGAATGCAGAGTGAAGCTACATCTCTACGTAACGCCAAGGAATCGAGGCGGTCGCAAATCTTATGGCTATCGACGATCCGAGTCGCTTCGATTTTGCTTTCGCTTTCGTTGGATGTGGTCCAGAGGGAGAAGCTGGTACTGAGATGCCCCTGCTTAGAGATAAGAACAGTATTCCATATGCAGCCGGACTTGCGCCGGACATGTGTTTAGGCAATAATTTCACTTTTAAATAAATGGGTTTTAGAATTCAACTTCAATAACATGTCTATTTATTAACTGTTCATGATATTTGTTTTTTACAAATCAAGTAATTCAGTTATGCGTAAAACAAATAGATTCATTTGCTTTCTAAACAGGGATTAATATTCTTTTATAGGAGCAACCATTGACTTAATTATAACTTAATACAACTTTTTTTTTAATAGTAGACAGAGTAAATTTGATGTCACAAAATATTAGATTAGATTACAAATAGGGGAATAAAACTATACTTATACTAGCTGTAGTTATAGTGACTAGGATAGCAACAGAAATTAGAATAAAATCAACCCAGGATTGTATTACAAGGTATTGTTACTTATTTTCGCTCCGCCTAAATAAATTCATTTTCACGGTGCAAGCGGCTCTTTTCGTATTTTCCACAAGATTTACGGATCATACGGAGTGGCCAAAATTGTATTTAGCTACATATTTTTGATTTCATATAACGACATTTTTTATTATTAAATCAAAGCATAATATCTTACACTTCTTTATGACGTAGCTTCATTCATTATATAAAAAAATATTTTTGTTCTCGCACATTGTGTTTAACAAATTTTATCTTTTACTAAATGCAAATATATGTACATTCTTAAAGGTAATATCATTTTACTAGCTTTAAATATTTATAGATATCTAATAACAAGGCATCCTCAATACGATATTTATTATTATTAACATTCAATATGTACTTAGATATTAATTTGAAAAGCATCTTTGTGATAAAATCTTTCTTCTAATAAGAAGAGCCTATGACAGTGCCTACGCCAGTTAACATCACAACTTTAGAAATATGTAGTTTGTCATGTTTACTATAAAAAGAATCGGGTTTGAATTTAAGTGTTAAACTCCAAGGTTACCAGACTGTCACCCACAATTTAATTCTCTAATAATTTAATTTCTAAACAGTAATATTAATAAAATATAAATGACCAACTATGAACTGAAACTTGTGTTTTTAAGTTAACTACCATGAATGTACCATCCCGCCACCATGTTTTTAAAAACAATTAATAATACAAATTTAATTATCAAAATTCTAAATGTTGTTTTAAAGTTAAATATTTATGTTTAAGAAAATAATTTTATCATAATTACATCAACATCAAGATTGTGAAAACTTGCTTATTTTATTTATAAATTTAAAGATTCTGTAAACTAAGGACTAAAACTAAGGACACAAATAAAATAATAATAATAACTTTACACATTTCCCAGAGCCCAAACTAGGCAGTGTCTGTGCAATAGTGACCGGACTGCTGATAAACATACTTAGATATCTAAGTATCAAGTATCTAAATATCTCTACATATTATGGATAAATTACACCCAGGCACAGAAAAAATAATTATACTCATCACACAATATTTGTCCTGGGTGTTAATGGTGGGTAATGGAACTCACGAGCTCCTGCTTAGCAGTCTGAATCACTAACTACTAGATCAACAGGCCTGTCAAAATATAGATACATACATATATGTACAGACGAATTGAGGGCCTTTTTCTTTTTTGAGGATATTAAACATCTGACAACAATCATTTATTATACATACAAGTAACTGAGTTCATAGTGAGTATTGAATGCAAAGTGTTGTCAGGCAGTGGGTGGATCAGAATTTGTACATAGCCGCAATTTTATTTCTTGTTCCACAGCCGCTGTCTTTGTACAAGGCTACTCGAGCATTTTACGTTAATATCGTTACACTTGTAAATGAGGAAAACGGAAGAATTCAAGATTAGCGTCATCTTTTATTTAGGAAAATTCTTTTAATTTAGGGTTTACGAAAAGACAGGAATAAATGCTATAAGGATATTCATATGTAAAGACTGAATCATTCATTGTATTTTCTGCATTCTTTTCATGTAGATAAGTATAAATATTTTCAAAACTATTAGTCTTAGTTTTACATTTTCATCCTTGTCCCTCTCCTTTGTAACTCATCTAGCACAGCTGACTGTTGATTAAAGTAAAGATACTTATCTTTACTTTAATCAACAGTCAGCTGTTAACATAGATAGACTTAGATTCTTTGAGAGATTCTTTAGCTATTCGTTTCTTCCACACATTCTAAAACAATGAATGTAAACTAAGAAAACTCCTCTTAATAATTTCATCTATGTTCATTTATTTAAATACAAATACCTAAAATAGAATAAGATCACGTTTTGTACCGTTTCTAATGAATTTAGATAAATTAAATTATAAACTGGTTTTATATAATAATGCAGGAAAACCAGTTTCATGATTCCTCAATATTACACAGACAGTCAATCGCACATTATTACACTTTTTTCATTTCATTTTTTCGATAAACAAAATGAAAATCCAATATTGTTGTCAATTTTTTTAGAATTTAATGTGAGTTGAATGAATTTACTCTTGACAAAATACCAATACTTAATTATAAGGACAGATACAATATTAGCTTTATTTATTACCTTTAATAGTCTTCAACAGTTTTTCGTTAAAAGTTTAAGTAAATGTTACTTTTAAAATGAATAATAAAAGCTCATGTATACTATCATAAATTTCATAGTTAAACCAGTCAAAACTTTTTTGTAAATGTTATCTGTCTATAAAGTGGCATCTGAAAGGAAATGGTCGAAGGACCATATACATTCTTCCCGAAGAAGTGGCACCTGAAGCCGAGGCGTGCAGAATGATTTCCGACCTCCATAACCTCTGGCACTTGGATAATGGGCAGCCTTACCGTTACCTTTAGCTAAACGGATAGCGTGCCCTAACGGGATCCCTTTCAGGCCTGCTTCTGCTAGTAACCCCCAAAAGAAGCAGGCCTGAAACGGTGGCGGAATGTGTTCTGATGTGAATTAGAAGTAAAGCAAGGCATTTTGCACTCAGTGGTTTGACTGCCTATTTGTAAAGGTCTGCCGGGGTCTTCGGGGACTTCTTTCCTAGGAGATATTTGCAATTACCGCGAACCCCAGTTAGGTGATGACCCGTGATGATTCGAAAAGAATATTAAATACTTTCAGATAAATAGGGGTTTCAAGCGTAAAGGTATGTAATAACGAGTTGTGTAAGAATATAATTATAAAAAAAAAAACAATACGTATCTACATGAACTTCAAAGTTCAAATGACTGGGGATAGAATCACCATATTGTCTGTGAATAACAAGTTATGAAGACAGGCTCAATTGAAGAAAATGCGAGTTACACAAAGCA